TTTGCACAGCCGTTAATTTTTTTCAGTATTGTATTCATTTTTTCAGTCTCACTCTCGCCTCATATTGTGGCAAGAGTGAGACGCAATAGGAAGAGGAGGACTGCGTGTGCTGCAAGGGCAAGGGCAGAGGGTGTCAAGCGGCGTACCTCGGAGAAACAAGCCAAGATAGGATGATCGCGAGTCGCAGCGGAGTGTAAAGTTGTGTATCTGTGTCAGCGTTCAAGGGTACGCACCTTCACGGTAGCAAACATTTATCATGCTCCCAAAGAAGTGCCCGAAACGAGTGTCTGCGAGAGTTCACGCGAGAATGGGCTTGTCATCGCCGAGCCAACCACGTTATTCGTGCGAGAGAGTCCAAAGCTGAGTGCTAGCGGATTGAAGGCTTGAAAAACATGGAAGTACGATATGCAGTTAAACATTATCGTAACAAAGTTGTATGTTGCATGAAAATAAGTTCGTTGTATCTGAATTTTCGTTATAAAGGTTTAGTCCTAACACTATATTTACTTCAAAACTGTTTTTCGTTTACTTTGTTATAACTGGTATTTTGTTGCATCAGGGATCGTTATATCGAGGTTTGAGTGTAGACTAATGAAGGATGGGCAAGAGCTTCACTGTTTCAAAAATGTTTGCGGAGTAGAGCTGGCCGGATCTTTCTTTTTACAATGTGCGATTTTAGGGAGGGAAAGGGGGGAGGGGTGATCTACATTCAAGTCAACTTGAAGTCGTGTAAATATTGTAATTTTATAGTAAATCTTTTATTTATTTATTTATGTATAATAGTACTCACAGTGCCAGAGGGCATTACAGCAGGGGGAAGAATGCAATATTTCAATACAGATGATAAGGCTTCAACGTCACAGTAAACGTAATTCACTGTCAACTTAAGTAGGGATACAAGGGATACGCACAATATAGAGCAATTTTCATTTCCTCTACTCAAACACCATGAAATTCCGAGCAAACGCGTCCCCTTCAGTGAAGCGTAATGCAACAATATTCGGATCAAAACTGAACATGGCGGTGGAATAGTGACTAAAAATGACGAATGCACATTCATGCTTCTAATCTAGTGCTCTGATAAATATGCATTCACTCACTGTTTTCATTTGCACTCATCAGTCGAATTAAAGCAGTAAATGAAAGCGTGAAAATGGTGGAAGGGGGAGAAGGGGGCGCATAAATATTTGAAAACTCCAGAAGAAGGAAGGGGGACGCTTGCTCGGGATTTCGCGGTAAAATAAAGTTGTTGCTCGCTTTATAAGAATTTCCTCTTTTTCTTTTTCTATTTCTCAGACAGTACATCTTCTGCAAGCTTCTTTTCAAAATATGGCACCCCTGACGTGTGTTGGTCCATGTGCGGTCGCACACGCTCCGTTCATTTCTCCAACACTGAAATGTACCCTGAACGATCTAAATGTCTCTCTCTCATTCACAGTTTTTATGCTTATGTTTTTCCAAACGGCTTAGCGCTGTGAGCAAGTGAAAGAAAAACGAAATAGGCAGCAAGCTGCCATAGTATTAGCAGATTAACACAGTTGTTCAGAAGCCCTTCCTGTGCCTAGCCTTCAGTGCACTGCCAAAATGAGCTGTAGCTGAGTATACGCACTCAAACCTCGATATAACGCACCCATATATAGCTATTTGTTTTAACCATATATAGGTTATTATGAAATAAATTAAGAATAGTCCTGCAGTAGATATAGTGTTGGGAATATACCCTTACAATAAATTTTTGAATATAACATACTTATTTTGCTGTAAAGTGCAACTTTGTTATAATGAGGCTTTAGTGTACCACACAATGAAGTAATGAAATGGCACATGGAAGTTTTGCTTTCTTTCAAAACAATGCAGATTTTTTTAGAAATATGCTATGAGAGTCAGGTCCTTATCTTGGCAAGCATACTCTAGGCTGAAGTGAAAAAACTCCCGAAACACTCCCAAAATTACATGCAAGTGAGCAGTTAACCGAAATTTGTTAACTTCTTGCTTATTAGCTTGATGGCCATTATTTAGTGAAAGGGTTGTAAAATTTGACAATCAACTACATGCAATTTTTTTGTAAATCACAAAAAATGCACATAATTTAAGATAATCACCAATCATTTAAGGCCCCCGATCGAGGCAAAACCAAAACCGAGTGCAGCAGATGCATAGAAAAATATCAGCCATGTTATGCCACACAGGAAGTTCATGTGGCAATTGTCAAAAAGGGCGGCTCACAGCAGAACATGGTCAGGAAAAACTCCAAGCCGTCTCGGTAGACCCTCATCCCATGTCTCTCAAAGGAGAATGGTAAAGGGGCAGATCAGGGCCGTACCGATAATTTTTTCAAGGGGGGGGGGGGGGGGGGAATATCTGCACAACAGCTAACTTTGACAACTGGTGGTAGACGTGAAAGTATGTAAATACGTCAGCATTACCCTAAAGTTAAAGCATAACAAAACTTCGGAAGTGTCAAAGTCTCCTAAACTTTGCTCTGCTCGGCCTGAAAATTACGTTATCAGTGACACAAATATGTGCAGAAACGGATAAACTACTTATGAATTAATGAAATGCTCTTCCTAATTTAGAAAGTTCATTTCTTTTTCATCAAAAGGGAATGGCATCAATGCGGTTCGCTATTCAAGCTGTCGTAGGTCTAAAAGAGTGTGAAAAAGTGTTCAGTGATTCAGTCAGACCAAGAAAACGTTTCCGCTTTAGTCTCCAATCAACCTGCTTCATCTTGCTTATCATACTGCTAAGCGCCTTTCTTGCTTATTTCAATGTATTAGGCTTCATTGACAAGTACTATGAGCAACGCTCAGTGCATACCACATCACAATGTTTGCAAAGTTTTGCAGTTGTTTGACATCATTCTGTTAAGATTACATGCAAAACGTGAAGAGCCAAATTTATTCGAGAGCTGGTGTGAGCACCAGCGATAACGCTGCTCAGTTTGATGACATGTATGGAAGAGGACGCACTCTATCGATCCGATTACTCGATGGCCGACCACTGTTGTTGCCGATCTCATCGCACAGCGTGTACTGCTTGTACACTCAAAGCTTATTATAACAAAGTTGTATCTTGCACTAAAATAAGTTTGTTGTATCCAGACATTCGTTCTAAATGTATATTTCTAACACTATATCTATTACAAGACTATTATTTACTTCGTTATACAGATATTTCGTTATATCTGGTTTCGTTATATTGTGGTTTAAGTGTATCTGGATTTTATTTTCCGGTCACAAATTCGCCCAAATGAATAATTTCGTATTTCCCTGTTTTGCTGCAGCCTTCTTCGCCATCACAACTATGTGACAATAAGATAGCTTGCAGCGATTGAGGTGTCTTGCAACAAGCTAACAAATAAGGCAGAGGACTCGAGCACATTGAAAAGCTCAGCTTTCAAGCTGTCCTCACAACCTGTTCTTCCAGACTAGGTTCCATGGCCCAGGTCCATGGTTTTCTGTAGTAAGGAGACTGAATGAACAGCCCGGCTTGTTAGTCTTGATTAATCTTAAAGGGCCACTGACCAGGCCCCATACCGAATTTTAGTTAGACCGTGGAAGTTGTTGGGTGTCCGATGAGGAACATCTTGCCACAAAAATTTTTTAAATCGTTTCATTACGAGCTGAGAAAACTTTTCTTAGAAGTGGCGCAAAGCGACGATGCGAGGAGGTGAGCTCGGAACCCTTGCCGCTCCTACGCGTAGCCTTTGCAAGCCAAATCTCTTCCCTACCCTCTCTGGCATCCGACCAAGAAGTCACGTGCACATGACGTGCCGAAACAAGCCCAACCCCCGTGCACGCGAGCGGCGTTTTTGCTGACCAGTGGTGTTTTAAGGTCTACTGCCTCTTTATGCAAGATGGTTTGGAAACGCTGGCTTATATGTACTAGAATAGATGAGCACAATGAGTGTGCGAACGGGTACGAGCGTTTCACGACTGTCGTCTGCTCGATGCACTGACCACGGCTGCAGGGACACGAACGCATGCGAAATGCCGGCACATTAGCCTTGCATCGCGTTGAAATTCACGGGGGAAAAAAAATGAAGAAAAAAGAATGACAACATTCCCTTATTGCGTCTCATTATTTATTAAGAGATTCATTAATCTCTTCAAGCAACAAGTGCATAAACTACGCATGTTGTGTTAAATATTTTCGCCGTGTCACGTGCCACTGTTGGCAACGTCAGAGCATAGTCGTCTACGTAGAGAGTGAAGGTCACTGCATTGCCGTGTGCATAAGGCCATTCATACGCGCACGTCATGCCCTCATTCTCTGGGCACGCACCGGCAGAAGGGAGGGGGAGCAGTGCTCATCTCGAAATTTGACCCATTTTCGAGGCACGTAGCGTTGCAAATTTTGGCAGACGTGATCATGAACGCCTCATCTACACATTGCACTTATCAGCTCAATATCGTCAAACCTGGTGAGTGGCCCTTTAAATGAACTTGTAAAATACAAAATACAACATGGATGGCAAACAAGCACACATGAAGAGCGATGTTAATCACTCTCTCCGCAAATATGAGTTCATAGACTTGTGTAAGCACGCTAGCAGCTAAAAGTCGTTATACTACTATGACTGAAAATATTGATGTTCGTATGAATCAATGTCGCCAGCTGCTATAATTAGCCTCTGTCTGTGTGATCATTGGGCAGCGTTCTTGAAATATGTTCAAAATAAAGCTTTTCTGCTATTACAAAAAACGTTTACGTATCGTTCAGTTATTAGTGTGCATACATGACGTGATTTCACAGATTTGTGACATCGCGTAATAAACAGGAAACATGTTGGCACACCGAAAATTTTGATGAACGGCGAAGAACTAAAGGTTCTTTGCCATTGATCAATAACCATGTAATAAGAAAACTCACTATAATAAAATAAGAGAACTCACTAGTATATTGAATGTAGTGAGTTCTCTTAATTTTTTTGCGTAGTCGTGCATAAGCAAACACTAAAGGATTGATCATTTTGGCATCATCCGTGTCACGTTTTGCAGCTTCAGCTTCCAACGATGTCGGCAGCAGCCACGAACAGACAGAGTCGGAGTCTGAAGATGTACGTGGTGGTCCTGTGCCGCTACAGGTGTGCCTTGAAGTTGGCGAGGTGGGTCAGCTTCGTCTCGTCTCCTCCAAATAAATGCTGGACGGGAAACAAATGGAACCTATGGGACTTTGTATGCCAAAACTAATACTTCGTCATTAGGGGAGATGCGATTGGAAAAAGAAAATCGCTAATCTGTAGCCAAGGGCAATAAAATTCTTGCTGCAAATACAGGCTTCTAATAGTAATAATTGTTGGGGTTTAACATTCTAAAAACCACCACATGGTTATAAGAGACGCTATAGTGGAGGGCTTCAGAAATTTCGACTACCTGGGATTCTTTAACGTGCACCTAAATCTAAGCACAAGGGCCAAGAACCTTTGCATCCATCGAGAATGCGGCCGCGGCGGCCAGGATTCAATCCCGTGACCTGCGGGTCAGCAGCTGAGTGCCTTAGCTGCAAGACCATCATGGCAGGTTATATAAGCTTTTATGTTGATTTAAATATGTAATTAGTTTTACAGTGAGTTGTACAGTCTTAGTTTTATGCCATGACAATGTGTAATCTATAGTTGGTTTTGGACAATCTTTTTATGCCACTGAACATTGATGGTTTCCAGCCATTGATGGCTGATATGTCTATGCGTTAACCGCAGAGTGCAAATGACTATCAAGAAAGTGCATATAAGACATCTTAATTGACAAGAAAATTTATTATGTCAGAATGCTTAGAATCCTGAGCCCCCACTAATGATTCACTTTAGGTGTGCAATAATTATACAGGAGATATCAAGTTTTTAAGGAAATACTTGCACCCTTTATATTTTAATGATTATGTGGGCAAGATTTGATCCCGATCGGGCTATCATAAACACCAAGAACATGATGTCTAAACTAGAGAAGTTGCCCAAAGTTGCATCTTCAGAAAATTCATTTTAAAGGTATAGGTGAAAGCGCATCTATCCGGAAAAGATATGTTTCTTAAGATGATTTATTTCATCATGGCAGCTTGGCAATCAAAGTTATTTTAAGCATGTGGCTTCATGGAGCTGTTCATGCGGAATGCGAAAGGCAGACAGCCAGGTGACGATTTCCCGAGAACTCTAGACAACGAGCTCCATTTAGGTTTCAGTAGCCAACTTCTGCTCTATATAAACGATCTTGACCTACTTCTAGTATAATTGCAACGTTCAGTTTCTTTGTCATGAAAGTAGAGGGACTATGCTTGTCAAAATAAATAAAAACGAAAAATACGTAATGTTGAAAAAAAAAAGTTGTGCTTTTCGACTCGCGTCTCTTCGTAAATCTCACACTGGTGCATGCAATATCAATTTTCCTTGACAAACTGAACTCTTCAGCTATGTCTCATCCAGTCATACGACTATAGCACACTACTGTTTTTGGGCCAGGAGTCTCAATCATGCGGCCTGCCGACCCTTTTCTAGCAGCCCATCCTGCACGTGACTGTCTTCTTCCCATATCCCATAACTTTTTTTTTTCTAATAAGTATATTCATGAGCTACAAAGACATTGCTGTTATCAAGCATCCCTTTTGTGGGGAATCCATGAGGTCATCATTTGTTGAAACATAACCGTGGAGCAAAAAACTCTATATTTCAGAATCGATGTCCACATTTGTGGCATGCTGGCAATTGATGTCAGCATGCTTCTTGAATCTCGGCATCAAATCCCCTTCAGAAACGACTCATACTTGAGGTATGCGAATGGTCGCTTTTCAAATGGTGTTCGCTGACCGGCCCCTACAATAGACTACGTCTTCCTACTGGTGAGGGCCATTTTGTACACATTTTATGATAGAACAGAGCAAAACGTCATCAGAGGACGCTTTGGAGTCGCACCGGATCGATCAAGGCTAGACTAACGATCACATGTCAGAATGGCACCATGAAAAAGCACGCTGACAATCAAATGTCCTCCGGAAGACTTGGATCGGATTGAAGCATAAGCGCTGTGGCCGGAGAATTGAACTGGCCTGCTTTGTGTCTGGCTTACTCCACTCCTGCACCAATAGTTTGCAAAATTGCCACCAGACTCCACAACTGAATGACTTGTCAAATCATGACATGAACACAAACAAATTGTTGAATTTTTTAAAGCATCGCGCTCTTCAATTTCATGCTTTAAGAAACAATCCTTGCCAATATTGATGTTCAGCTATGATAATTCTGGATTTCTACATGCATTAAAGAGATTACCCACCTGAGCTTATTTATTAGCTGCTTGCTCTCTCTCATTCTCTCGTGACGTTGCATTCTGTTCTGTCTCAGTCACGTGCAAAATAACTCTCTGAGACGAGTTTGAAATCTCTTACACCGAAAAAGATAATGCCTCAAAGCTCCTTGGTCATTTGTGTGAGCCATTCATTGCAAGACATTTCCTGATTGCCTACAAACTTACGCTGAAAGCAAATGACTGACAGATGTATCAGCCGACAATTTACATAAGGCGTCAGTGGGGTGCTTGCATTTGTAAACAGCAGAATCCCAAGGAACGCTTTAGAATGTGGGGGCCAACGTGCTGACACAGATATTTCTCAGACCGCAGGACCTTGGGCCAATGGTCACGCAACCTCTGGTGGCAGCTCGTTGGGTGAGAACCTTCCCGTTCACTCGTAGATGTAGAGAATAGATGATGGTTTTTCGAAAGACCTTGGTACAAGAATGGTTGCCCTCACCACTGCTTCCGTCAGCACACCCTGAACACAGTTTACACACAATTGGGTGTATTTCATCCCCTAACGACATGCAATCATCCCCGAACAGTGTGAAACAGTACATTGCAAAGTCAAGATGAAGACACACTCATCACTCAGGAGGTTTACTTCAGCCAAACATCAATGTACACTCAAACTTCGTTGTAGCAAACTCAGTTCTGCCGGGAAAATACTTTGTTATATCCATAAGTTTTTTATAACTACATATTCTTAACACTGTTAATGACAAAACTATTTTCCACTACCTTCATTATAGCTGATAATTTGTTGTATGTGGGTTCGTTATATCGAGGTTAGAGTGAGTTTTGCTATTCTTTAGCGAGTACTCGACCCAACTAGCGCACACATCTGTAAACAATTACGTACAAAGCTGCTCAAACAATTAGTGCTAAGGCCCTGAAGGCCATAAGTATACAAACTTTCATTAAACTTCTTTTTCTATTTAGTTTCTAACTATGTGCATCTGATTACTCCGTTAACACTGCAGTGGACAAAAACAACAATGGCAGTGGCAGCGGCGGCAGCAGAGACGACGATACTACAAAGGGCCAACCTGTGCTGTCGGCAGCGGGCATCAAGCACGGCCGTCGCACGCCTCTACAATGTCCGCTGTGCCCGTACACGACCCACAATGCCACCACCATGCGCGAGCACCTGCCCGTGCACACGGGCGAACGGCCATTTTGCTGTCCAATGTGCAACAAGCGCTTCTCCCGCAAGAAGTACTTTCGGGTGCACCTGCGTCTCCACGACAAGGCGAGTACTGCGACTGCACCTGCGATTAGAGTCTCCAGAAATCCCGGGCAGAAAACAAGGGCTAAGCGAGTTTACAGACTAACGAATTCGGCTAACTAAGCAGTCTGACCTATATTTTCGAAGTTGCGGAGTTCCTTCAGTTAAAGAAGTGCTAGACTTCGCCTTGGGCTTGGTGAGGAAAACACATCCCACAGATAAAAGACCAAGCTGTTGGAAACGCCTTTGCCAAATTTCACACTTGTGTGTAGTGTGTAGAGTTGATTATACTCCTTAAATGTCAATAAAGTAGAAAGCTGTGGTTTTCCAACAATGTCAAGGCACATTAAAGAACACCAAATAGTGAAAATTTCTGGAGCCCTATCATAATCATATTGTGGTCTTTGTGAATTAAGAAACCTCACATATTATGTGGTCTTCTAAAGCACCCTTTGCATTATTGTGTAATTTACACTGTTGAAATCATCATTTCATAAAAAAAAGTAAAGGTTTTAAGCACACATTCGGTTTAATAGTATGTAACATATGCATATAATTATGGCATATGGGTTCGCACTTATATCATTATGACCGGACCTCTCTTGTTCAAAGAGGCGTTCTGGCGTACAATAAAATCTCCCAATGGTGACGTCACAAGTTTTACGTGCCAAAACCACAATATAAATAATAAAATAATTAGAACTCACAGACAAAAAAGCCAAGAAAAGTATTGGGGATGTTATTTTCATTAATTGTGATGTAGTTGTGAAGTGGACAAAAAGATAATTTGCCGCTGGCAAGGACCCAACCTGCAAGCTGCGACAAGTTATCTTTTTGTCAATATTGTATTAATGAGGTTAACCTTCCAATCTACTTTAGTTGCGAGATCAGGTAACATCTCCATCTTTTGTAGGTACATCACTGCACAGTATTGCAAAACAGTGCAACAAAAATACAAGGCAGAAAGAGACAGAAATGTTTCATACAGCTCCGAAGAAGTAACAGCCATATTTTTGTGCCAGCCCACAGCGCGACCACGTGAAGCCACCACCTTGAACTTGCTCCATTTCCCTTTCCGCCTGCTTCTGAAAATATGGAGAAAAGAGCCTCAACTTCATCACTGTTCGAAACTGGAGGAAAATCCGATTTCCTTTCTCCGTGAGCTACATCGGTGGTGCGGGCCGATCTCGCGCAAGATTACCTCGCTCCGCACGACGACCCAGCTGTTTCTTGGGGAGCTCCTTTCTTACAACGCTCACTTTATACACTTGTAACACATTGTGTGCCTTGCAATGGAACAGGTAACAGGTCGTCGTCGCACGTTTTGATCTTATATAAATTCATATCAAGCGAACCACCATATCAAGCAAATCTCCAAGCTCTTGCATGGTCTGACAGCAAAAGAACACATAGCTCGGTATTGGACATAGCTCACCACAGGCGGCCATGTACCTGTGAACGCCCTGCACTGCGGCGCATTAATGGCAGTTTTGGAAGCTTATGTACCCACGGAGGAAGGTGAGAGAGGGTGAGAGCGGCAGTGGTGATGTTACTTGAACACTATATATAAGCCAGACTAGGTATAGGCACTATGTATAGGCAAACGCACGAGGCGGGGACAGAAGGTTAGGTGGTTTGATGAGATTAAAAAATTTGCAGGTGTAATGTGGTAGCAGAAAGCACAACACCAGGTTGATTGGTGGATCACGGGAGAGGCCTTCACCCTGCAGTGGGCATAGTCTGGCTGATGATGATGATGATGATGAAATTTCATAAGGAGGCTACAGCAGAACCGGCCTTATGTAGCCAAAGGACTCACAGCTGCCAATGCCCTAGCAAAGTATCATAACAAACTGGACACAGTATTGACTGGCAATCGGTTTCAGTCACTGAAAAAAAAATTATCATCCTACCCACTCCTTGAATCACTCAACATAGTTTATTAAGATGACAAATCAGGCATGGGGTCCACTCCACGAGATATATTCAACTGCATCATGTCTTTTGACTAATGTGTAACATACACCGCCATGCATTCATTTATTTTGAACAGTGCATCTGCAGCAGTCTTGAAAAACAGCAGTTTAGTTTTGTGCTTATCAATTGGCGAGTCTCTATTATCTTCAGCCACGTGAGCACTACCCCACTGATGAAGGCTACAATCAAAATGCCTCACTCACCCGTTTCAGAAGCGGGACAACGACATCTTCGGTGCCCGTGGTGACGGCAGCGCCACACCGGCCGACTCTGTAACTTCACCCAGGACATCACACGGGTGTGACACGTGCGACGAGACCTTCGTCCAGCGCCAGCACCTGCAAAAACGCGTGCAGACAGTGCACGCGCTCGACGGGGAGGCGGGCGGCGGCAGCTCGGACGGCAGCAGCAGCGGCAGTAACGTGTGCCCCGAGTGCAACAAGAGCTACAAGTACGCGGGAAACCTGCGAACGCACATGCGTGTACACACGGGGGAGCGCCCCTACATGTGCGACGTGTGCGGCCTCCGCTTCACCTGCTCCAGCTACCTGCAGGTGAGTGTGGTGGACAACTTGTCATACCCAGCCATTGTTTTTATTTATTTATTTACATCACGTGCCAGGCCATGTGACCCAAGCAGAAAAGGCAACATGCAACATGGTCTCATCGGATCCAGTGAGTGTCTGGTGGCATTCAGTCCCGTCCACAAAGCCGCACAATGGCCGAATTCGGTTTTCACTTGCATTGCTTTGGAAGCGGGGACGCTTGCAACCTCTGTAATGGTTTTCCACAATCTTTTCTTTTTAGGGGCGAAGCTCCTCTTAGTCTAACCCTGTCACATGTCACGTGTAACTGAGAGGAGAAGCGACGAGAGAAAAGAAGGCAGGCAGTATCTCTCGAACACTATAATAGACGGCGCTGTCTCATAGAAGTACATACAAACTGCAGTTGAGTGAGGATATTCTAAATGGTGCTGTACTGCTACTTTCCGATTGGCTGCTGTGCGAGCTGTGCCTGGGTACGCGGAGAACGAGTGCCTCTCTCGGTCTCCTGGATAGTCGCCATACGTGGCGGATCGTTGGTGGGGCATGGAGGAAGCAGAGCGGCAGGCGCATTGAAGACGCTTGCGCTCGGCTTCTTTCGCTCGGGTCTCTTCAGCGTTACTTGCGCGCCGTCTGCATTCTCCAGCGTGATAGGATGCATGGAGACATGCACAAACAGATGGGCACACGGATGGACGGACGGACGCTTCACCCCACTCATTAGCACTCACTCCGTGGATATGCTGTGTTTTCTTTTTTAATGTGTCTTGTTTTGCATTTAGTATGCGTGTGTAGTTCCACATGCATGTAGTGTTTCAGCTAACTTTCACCTAGTATGAAAAAAAAAAAAAACAGTAATAATAATTGTTGGGGTTTAATGTCCTGAAACCACTAGTATATTATTATGAGAGACACCATAGTGGAGGGTTTTAAAGATTTAGACCACGTGGGGTTCTTTAACGAGCACTAATAAAGCATTTTCGCCTCCGTCAGAAATACGGCCGTTGCAGCCGGGATATGGAGAAGAAAAAACATACGCACGCACTACGTGTGTCAAATTGGCCCAGTAATGTTCTGAGTCGTACACAGCACTTGAGGATATATTTTTTTTCCACTCTGTAAGGCTGGTAATTAACAAAACATGCTTTGTTAACCTTCAAAATAGCATTTCTAATGAAAAGCATTCATTATTCAGAGGAGTAGAAATTTTAACATTTGCTCAGCAATGTCGAGTTTTTGCATCTATGCTAATGTAAATGTCCCCATATATCTTTTCCCAGCTTTTGTTAAGAGCATGCAAATTTAACACTCTTAGGTCCAGTGATTCCAATAGAAATCATCAATTTCATAGGTCATTCAGTAACCACTTGGTGAAAAGGTTTTTGTTCATCTGCTTGATCGCGTATTTAGTATTCAGCCAGGCGCGCACAGAAAAGCGAGGCCATGTGTGAACAGATAATTCAGAAGCAGTCACACTGTTCCTGCTGATTGCTGAATTAGCTTTTTTCATCGTAAAGAGGTTCATTTCAGTTCTATATGGGAAAATTCGAATTTTAGCTATTGGGTGTTATGCTATAGTGCATTGAAATACTTTTCCAAGTAATAATTTATTAAGGATAATCAGAACACACTGAATTAATTAATTATTTGCCTTGGTCAATAATTACTTTTAGTTGAAGAGTGTCTGCTCATTTTTTTTTTTTCATGTCTTTGAACTAGGATGATAATGTGCATCAGAAATTGCAAAAGCCTGTTGTTGCTAGCATTTAATAGAAACAATTTGAACCTCTAAGGGTTAAAAACATATTTGGCACTAGTTAGCTAAAACACCCTACATATTTACGAATGGTTTTCTTCCAAACTAAGTCGGTCCACTATGGATTCAACCATTCTACTTACTCCCATTAAATGTAACTGAAATTTTTGCACCTATGTTAGTCTCGCTCTAGTTGCAGATGTAAGCTATACCACATGACAAAGGGACACTAAAGAGCAAAACTATTTTTAGCGTATTTGTAAAGTAAAATTTCACTATCCCATAAACGCAACCCTTACCGTAACGTGACTTTAGTGAACAAAAAAACGCGAGAGAAGAAAATGTGGGTGGTGACGACGCCGTGAGATCCCCGCACCAAACACTGCGACTTAGTAAATTATTAAGGCTTTACGGGTCTCACACAGCTTCTACTTGACAAAAATGAAGTACATTGCCATCTGTCGGTGCCATAGACTTAGCATATGAAGTTTCGGCAAATGTCATCGAGCCAATGTCGCAAAACTACGACAAACACATATTGGGTCACGCGCAGAGGTCTCGAAACATATTTAAAAATGAAGCTAATGAACTCATGACAGTGAAACTTATGGCAGTAGAGTTCTCATAGTGCAGTTTTTCAATCTATATACCAAGTCACTGTTTCTCTTTAGTGTCCCCTCAAGCTTACTCCGGTATAGCATGTGCTTTCATTGCCACTCGCAGGTCCACTTGCGGACGCACGTGCAGGAGAAGCCGTACGCGTGCCCCCAGTGCAGCAAGACCTTTGTGCACAACTCGGCGCTGACGGTGCACCTGCGCACGCACACGGGGGAGCGCCCCTACCAGTGCCCCCACTGCCCGCTGCGCTTCAGCCACCTGCGCAACATGAAGCGCCACGAGATCTGCATCCACACGCACGAGTACCCGCACATCTGCACGCTGTGCCAGCGCGGGTTCCTCGTCGTCACTCAGTGGCGGCAGCACGTCCGCTCGCAGCACGGCCTTGAGTACGGGGACCCGACCGACTACGTGAACGACTTTGTGCCTCGGCACGGCCGGAAACCGGGAGCCCCCGCGAGACCGGCAGTCACCGTAAGTCGGGGCACTAATGTGCAGCTTGAAAGCTTTCCTTCGGAGTTTTTACACGCCTAAACTACAGTGCAACTTATAGTTAACAGAACCAATGAAAGTACAAGAATACAAGAATGTTATTTGAGCAAGTGTGATAATAATGAAAAGAAGTTAAAGTGGACGAAAAGATGGCCTAGCCTCAGGCAGGGACCGAACATGCAACCTTCAGACCTCCAAGATATGGCGATGGGCTTATCTTTTTTTCATTCTTCGTGGCACTTTCTGCACGCACTGCGTGATAAACGTTAATGTATAGCACCATTAACCATTGATTCTTGCCATGTAGAACATCTTGGGGCTCTGTTACAGCTGTTTGTCTCACAGCTGATTGACTGATTAATCGAAATGTAAAGAATAGAAGAATAAGTTACTGTATTGAAGCCATAAGCTTCTACTCTTGTACGCTAGAATAAATGACGATGAACAACGCTATGTTTGTAGAACAGTCACATCTTTGATGAACAGTTTAGAACGAAACTAAGGGAACAGCTCATTACCGTATTCATCGTACCTTTTATTCAAGCAGGTGAAACGACGAGACAGCAGTCTATCAGGTGACGCAGTATCGTCATCAAGTGCACCGGGGACCTGATAGAGAATGCGGGTATCAACCAAATATCCGGCAGGCCACCAACAATGCACGGTGGTGCTCTACATCACGGAGCTACAGATTTGCTACATTGCTGTTACACATTCACTGTATGACTGATATTCACATTGGGATTGACCTGCTTCAGTCATGGGACTGTTAAAGAAGACTTGTCGGGGAGTCGGGCATTATATACCACGCACGTTTTGTTAGATTCAATGTTGAAAACCAGTCTTCTGATATTTTTTGTTGGTTTGTCCCACTACTATAGCGCAAGTGAGCACCTGCCAAGTGTCATTGCGTTTGTTATGTTTTGTTTGTCACATGCCAAAACAGCACAGCTCGGCATCAGTCAGTTTGGGTGAGCTTGAGTTCGTCATTGTGCTGTAATAGTCCTAGAGTGCAAACATGCCATGTTAGAATAGAGTGTTCGGAGTTTACTTGATATTCCCATAGCCATGTTACCTGTTGAGAACCAAAGTTCATCTTGCCTTATCACCGAGCTTGAGTATGTTAACTAGTCTTTAAGGAAAGTTATTTTTGTCAGGAAGTTCATTCAATCCTTTTGTCCTATCTGAATTCAAGTTAGTGACTTGATTGCATTTCACCTAGTCTTGGTCTTATGACATACTATTTCTGAAGTTCAAGTATTTTATCCTAGCAAAATATTCATATTTGTCCAGCTAGATTGCACGGGCACATTCACATACACCCAGCCTGCAGAGAGTCAAAGCTGGCCTTGTGTAAGGCCCGCACGAGTTTTACGGCATCATTACTAGTCTCATTGAAATGTTTTTTATTGAAGTAATGCTTACTGGTGAAGAAAATCTGAATGAAGCTTGTCACTGTTCAACTGTTCTGCCCAAGACATACCCGTGGGTGGCAGGTTTCTATATATAATTTTACTGGCACTTTTCTCTGCTTGAAAGAAGGTAAAGAGAGTTGATAGAAGTTTAGGTAGCCACGGACTGCTTATGCACAAGTAATCAGGTAGCTTACAGAAAGTAGTAAGCACGAAAAATGCAGGATGTTTCATTTAAAAGCTGTTGTAGAAAGTTGATGTCATTACTATTTTCCATACAATTTTCATTTGTCATGTCAGGCCGTTCTTAATGCTATAGTATATGTATCATCCGCTATGCTAACTGAACTTTGTACTGGCCCTTAGCGTTCCTCCTAAATGTAAATATGAACGTATACGTTAATGAGTGCACCATCATATCGAGCGTTTAACTCCCCCCTCACAGCTGCTTCTATTTCGGGGCTATTAAGTCAGTACTGCATAGCGTTGTCATTTGAACAGTGTAAAAAAACAATTAGCGTTCACTTTCTCTAACTAGTTGTAGAGTTTTCATTATTTACAGTACAGCTACTACTCATACTTTAAACACTTGCTGTAACTCCAGGATTTGCTGTAGAACTCTTGTCTAATATTGCACATGGAAGAAAGGAAAGAGTTTACCTTTGTGAACTGTAGAGTACAAAAAAAAAAGGAAAACTCGCCTTGAGCTGTACAAAGAAAGGTTATCCCCAAAGGGAGAGGTTGATGTCGTAGAAGTACAAGTTTTATAGAGTGGTCTTGTGATTCGTCAGGCACTACGCTTTCGTCACCAGCTTTGAGCGAGGCACGATGTAAGCGCGGTACATGACAAATTCAGAAATGGCACGCGAATGTTCACAAAGTGAAATTCTTGCATGATCACGCTCCTTTTGCAAGACTGCATGCACATACCACAATGTTAAAATTTCTTACAGCAGGCAATGTAGTTACAGTACAACTAGCAGTAAATGCACATTTCTGCTGCATACGATCATGTGCACAAATAATGTTCATATAGGTGCACTACTGTGAACCGTCACAATGTCAGGATTATAGGATACTGTACTATAATCGATTAACAATGCTATTAAGAATTGCTCTTTCTCATAACATGATATGTAGGGTTTAACGTCCCAAAACCGCGCTATGATTATGAGAGATGTTGTAGTGGAGGGCTTCCAAAATTTGGACCATCTGGGGTTCTTTGATGTGCAGCCAAATCTGAGCACAGGGGCCTACAGCATTTTCGCCTGTATCGAAAATGCAGCCAGGATTCGATCCCGCGACCTGCGGGTCAGCAACTGAGTACCTTAGCCACTAGACCACCACGGTGGGGTTCTTTTTCATGACAAAACAAATTGAACCTACCCTTATCCTATGAAGTAATTATCAACCTGTAACGCTCCTAATCTTCAAAGCTGTTGTGGTTGAACTGCATCCAGTAGTGGCGCACATAATATGTCAAAGTAGGTCTTAGATCTTCAAAGTTTTGTTATTGCACAGTCAGCATTAACATTTCACAGCTTGAAAGGCTCCAGGAAGAAGCTGATATTTCAACAGCTTCGAACTGTGCTTACCTGTCTGTACCAGTTTGTGAACCCTCGATGTGACCAATGTGGATATATGACACATTGCCTGATATAACAAAGTAAACCTAAGCTAGCTGCTTCCTACATTGGTAAATATTGAATATAGCCTTATAACGATGTACCAATTCTCACATAAGCTGCAACTTTCTTGTGAAACGTTTGATTGTGTACACACAAAAAAATGTAACATGAAACAGTTATATGTAGTGGCTTCTTGCGCAGGTTCTAGAAACATCAGCTTTTTCTGTAAATTTCCAATGTTGATTGTAACCCTGTCTAAAATGCCCGTACTACAGTCAGCAGTTTATGCTGTGTTGACAGAATATTTTTCAGTGAAACGACTGGTTAATGATTGTTGAAGAAAAGTGCAAAGAAGACCATTGTTGTTTGTTGTTAGAAAGTTGACCACCAGAGGGTGTTCACTCGCAGCAGTACAAAAGTTAAGACCCGGCATTTCTACACCTGGCATTGTTGGTAAAGTTAGACTACAGGTTATAAGTGTCGGGCTTTTTTTTAATACAATTCACTACTTTTATCCTAAACCTTTTGGTTTATAATCAAAACAATTTTTTTGATTGAGCACTGAGAAAACGCTTGGTTTTTTTACAAGCTCTAAAAACAAGTAATGAAAATGCAGCCATTGAAATTTTTGAAATCTGCGTACATGGTACATGTGCTTGTAACACGTTTGTGGCCTTTTTTTGACAGTGGTTACACAAGCTGTCTAATTTGTAACGTTTGTAATCATGAATGTTATTGCTACTCGCAAAGGAAGGCCGCAAATGTGACCTTGCCACAAGTTTATTATGGTATGAAACACTGTTTCATGTTTTTACAAAGCATTTGCTTGCAGACAGGTTGTTCGCTACTCTGAATCCTCATTATAACAAAGCAGCATCTTACAAGAAAATAAGTTCGATATATCTGAAAATTCGTTGTGAAAATTATTCCTAACACTGTAAGTATTGCAAAACTATTTTATTTACTTTGTTATAACCGACATTTCGTTATACCTGTGTTCGTTATATTGAGGTTTGAGGGTACTGCAAGAGAAATGAGAATTGATTACTATTTGATAAGGTTTACAACATCTGAGCTTTGCATCAACCTTGAGTTGCTAAATCTCTCTGCCTTCAAACAGCAGAACACCTGACTATAACTTCTCGAAGTACCGCATATAGCAGAAATATGATAATGCATTTTGAAAAACAGAGCTAGGAAAATATATAAAGTTATGAAATGTGTGACCTATATTGTATGGTCCGAATAGAATGTGTTGAATGTTCTTTATTGGCAAGGTGTAAAGCCAAGAAATGGAAATATACATACTGGGAACGTTCGCTCCCGGTATGTATATTTACGTTCCCATCAATTACGTTTTGGTGCCTCTAGCATGCCAAAATGAAATGTATTTACAAGATACTCACAAGCTACAGATTACATTTCTTTTTCTGAATGTAGAGGTGTGTCTGGAACATTTGATAATGTTCAAGTTTTGGCCAAGTGAGCTTTGTTATGCCACAACAATACGCTGCAATTTCAAGTAACTTTAGTGCAAGAGGCATTTCACATTGTTTATTGCAGTTCCTATTTTATTCTCGAATGTCGGTGTTGACACAAACTAGTTAGCATCGATATGTGCAATGAAAGAGATTCACTTAGTGGCATACAGTCAGCTTGTATACGACGCGGAAAGCATTGTGCAATGTGCTGGAAAACAATTTGGAGTTTCATTGTCATCAGAACGTTGTCACAGTTTAGCGAGTGTGCTTGCACCCATTACTTTACCGCTGCTAACTGTTATAATTTTGGATCGGAACGCAGAGATCAAGATCATAGCATTTCGTTCCCAAAATACAATGGCATATAGAAAAGTGGCAAATTTACAACCGGAATTTAATATCACATGCATGGAAGCATGGATATAATAGTGAAAAATGATGTCTTTGTCTACAGTAACTTTCGTGCTGTTTTCGTTCTAGCTAGATCACCCTTCATGCTGTTTAGTTGCTGGGAGCAACTAAGCATTATTTAAAGCTGAACGAATCATTCAGACCACCTGGTACACTGAACTGCGTAAAAAATGCTCAAGAAATGCGAGACGTAAAGTAGAAACGCATAGAAATTGAAAGATCGGCTTTCAAATTGTGAACCGTGATGGAAAGCATGTTACACTACTTACTACTTGGAAAAATTGGCAACAGCTATGTGTTGTGAGCCGCAGCATGTTTGCAGCAACCGCAGAAGAAGCATAGAGATGAAGAAAAGGAGTTGAAGAAGGAATTGAATGTTTTGAGAAGCTTCGCCCATAAAGATAGACATAAGTTGATAACCAAGATTTCAGAAAATGAGAGATTTGGATGCCATACTTTCTTCTGCGGCTATTTTTCGTAATCAGTGGGAAAATGACAATGCCTCGTCAGTATGATGACCAGCCTTAGGAGTTGGCTGTTTTATTACTATAGGCGGTGATGCAACGACATGACAAGAATCAATCGTGATGCACTAATTAACCAGCCTTATTTCATCATTGTAAAGGTTTGAAACGAGACAGAAAATCATTGGAAGCTGGAGGCTTTAAGAGTTGAGATGCCAGACAATGAATACCACTGGTGTCAAATTTCTTCCACATTGTACAAGTCTTTGTCGGGGCATCTTGTTGTCAAAGCATTCGACTTTGGTGACACTCCATGTTTGAAAACCTCTCATTGTTGAAGCTTGGCGATTATAGGCTAGGTAAAATACCTAGGTGTCCCACACAAATTAACACAGTGTGCGAATGGTAACTTTTCATTTTTTGTGTAGACACAGCAAGGCACAGATATGTCATCCCAAAGAAGCACTCGTTTTTTTTCTTCACCTCTTTGTAGTACACTATACACGCATGCCCTATCACTTCATATCATTATTATATTGTCGCCTGTTGCATTAGAAGCAAGGGCCTTCCAGTAGTGGTGTAGTCGTTTGTAGATGAGACGTTGCACATGTGAGGACTTGGTTTTCAGCCAGCAAAAAGGTTCTGAAATCAATGTTTTCTGCTACACTGAAAAATGTCACACTGTGAAAGAGAAAGATTGCCATCCAACCACTGGAAGGGAAGAAGTGGAAATGAAACACTTAGAAACCTTTAAGAAAGTTTCTCGCTTGGCAGAATGTTTGTCCAGTTCCAAGACTCGAAACGAAAGACAAATTTCCAATCGGGGCAGTAACTTTTTTCCATCTCCGCGAATCAGGAAGCTACCAAATCCCAGCACGAGGGTGAATCGACGGAAAGCTCAAATAGTTGGGACAGAAGATACGAAAAATCAGTTCTGCAGAAGTTCTCTATGTGGAGACGGGTTATGGAATCGAAGACTCATTCACCGGCTTGTAGCACAATGCTAGAATTGGCATGCCATATCCATTGGTCTGTCTGCTTTGATGGGTTGATTAATTCACCCTCATTCTGCAATCTCCCAAGCTGAGGTGATAGAGCGATCGCCATAAAAAGGCTTCAGATCCGGTATCAAATTTCAGGACAGGACAAATTTTTCATCAGTGAGGAATTCTCAGAGGAATCAGTACGAATTTCATTTCTAGTTTCGTGCCGCTCTAAAAGGAATTTATTTGTCTTGAGGCTATAAGTATAAATGTACTGTGAATGAAGTGACTATGTTTTCATGTAAGTTTTCTTACGTGGGACACTGCATGTATTTCGCTAAGTTCCTGTTACAGATTTATTTACAGAGGACCCACTCAGTGTCAAGGAAATGAACCATCCCTCAGCAAAACTGTCTTTGATAAGTTATATGTTTTTGTTATGTATTACTGTTAGATTGCTATCCTTGTTCTATTCTATAATCCACATGTTTGGATGTTCGTAGATGATTGGAGTGTGCCTTTTTTTGTCCGCACAACTGTTTAACCACATAGCTTGGTCTAAACACTGAAGTTTCGTAGCCTATATTCATATTGTGAAAATGTCGTAATTATAACTGTTGTGTTGGATAGCTTGAAACTGTTTAGTCCCACTGCCGATCAAATATTGTTGCTGTCACCCTTGTTATCCTGAGTGTTTTGTTGGGTATTTTGTTCGTTGATGCACCCCCATTGCCCTGCACACTATTCCTATGTTTGAGAAACCCTAATGTTGTGTTAGACAAGTTTATAGTTTAGAGTTAGTATTGTTGGTTGCCATTAGTAAGTCACTGCTAGTCACTGCCGCCGTCTAGTGTTGTTTATGTTTAGATGTTTCGTTACGTGGCATGATTAGGGTTGCCACCTGGCCCACTCTGGTTTGGTTTTCACCGACACAGCTGTGTTTTATTTTAATGGCAAACCTGTTCACAGTCGAGGCTTCCCTGTCCGTTGGCATGGCGTCGGTCACGGGGTCTTGCGGCACGGCGAGAGTGGCACTCCGTAGCACTCAAAAGGCTGCGCCGTGCCAGGATTCGCGAAGGCGAAGCTAAGTGGAAAGGGTGAACCAATGAGGGGCGCACAAGTATGAGCGAGGGTGAGCCTGGCAAAGGGGAGGCATGGGCTTTGCTGTTTCGACAGCGTTTGCGGAGCGGAGTTGACGGCACAACTTTTTTCTTCCTTAAGTATGCAAGCTGCCCTTTACTAATCCAATAGGGGCATGCCCCATTTACCAGAAATGAGGTTCTCCGTAAATTCAACCATTATAATGTTCATAATCAGGGCATTCACAGAGTACAAATGACTAAACTGTCGCAACCGCATTCGATCGAAATTCTTTTAACCTGTTCGCTGTCGTGAAATTGTCGCGTCATGCGAAGCTGCAAGATTGAGGTGTTCATTTCATTTCTATTCTAGATTTTCATTCTGAGCCTTCTATCATGAAATCAAGCACCATGTCTTGCTGGAATGAGAGGAAGTTGTGCAGGTTGGTCGCGTTTTATTGTAGAGTAAGGCGAGTAAACGCAAACACAAGAGAAGAGAACCACGCCATATTGTGTTGACTGGTTCCCATCTGTGGTGTTCGTCTTTGCGTGGCTCACTTTACTGCTGAACACTTCTAGCAACTTTCCTACAGCTCACATTCAGAACAGCCAAGCACTGTTCATGCTTGTTACATAACTTGATGCAGTTTGGTCCATACTTGCGAGATCGACTGCACTGTTCATCTCCCACAACTCGCTGGTTGGCTGGAACAGTCAACGAGCTGTTGGTCTTACGCTTCAGTCTCCCAGCATTTTTTTTTGTCAAGTTTTTCTGTCAAAAAATAGTTTTTTTCTATTTAATTCAATATTGTTCAATATTCTGCTTTTACAATGCATGTATTGACTGAAGAAAAAAATTTAAGTGTGTATTAAGTCGAATTAGCAGATGAAGATAATCATTATATCAGTGTTTTTAATAATTCAGGATATAATGTCATCGTGGAGAAACTGGCAAATATAGCATGTCAAGTCATCAGGCGATGTTGCACGGATTGCCTTATCGGGGACGGGGATGCTGTTCTCGTCAACCTACCTAGACAATGACGTGCACTCGTGCTGGTGTCCTCCGAGCAGCCAGTAGCATGCTATCTGTTGTTGGATGCCAAACAGCCGCATCAACAACTCCAAGGAGAGTGGAGATTGGTCTCCGTGTGAAAAGTGGGCACCTAAGAAAACGTCAACTTCGCAATCTGCTTCTAAACTCTCTTTGTCATGCATGACAGCTAGACTCTGCTGAGCTGTTCACTGTTGTGTCTGCTCTCCGCTATACATTTGTTTTCTCACCAAGCCAAATATTGGTTTATGATCCCTTCAAAACTTTTGCAACGTTCTAAAAAATTTCAGTCGATTAATGCTTACCCTCAAGATATCCTCTTTTGCACCGTGTTTTTCATCTAACAACACCTCCCATCCCCCGATGCCAGTTCCTTACCCAGCCAAAGTGGTGATCCAGGCCATGCTAAACAATGTATTGTGACACCCACGCTTTTGCTTATACGTCATCGCTTGAATTGTGTTGCGATTGCCATATCAGAGTATTTATCATGTTACGGCTGATGTTAGTTAGGCAAGAGTGTATAAAAGACAAGAAATCTAGTCATTGTTAGTTATGTGCTACCCAGAAACTGCAGCCATGAGAATGCTTCACAGCACTCCTCCAAGAAAGCGAGACCCGCAATGTCACACGTTGAGACATTTCGTCAGATGGGTGTCCTTGAAGGGTTTATTTGCATACTACATGTGTGAATCAGAAAAATGAGCCTGTTTTCACAGTTACATGCCACACGACGACTAATAGCTACAACCAAATATATAGCAGAAGTTTTATATATCTATATGTATACCCATGTTAGGTTTGTGTTTATCGTGCGCACAACGTCCTACATCCCCAAAATAAAGGTCTCTTATCCTACCGACTCAGAGTGCTTATTCTACCACCAACACCAATATACTTCACAGAGATGTTGCAGCTAGAAGCCATTCATGACATTACCCAAATACAGCTGTGAAGTTCCCACGGATTGACACACATCAAAACTTAAATAGCGCAGGAATGGAAAGATGGAAGCTTGTGATGAAAAATTTGTAAACAGCTAGGGTATGTGTGCTAAAGCCGATGTTTTCACAAGCGCACTAGTCTTAGTTTCGACAAGAGTTGTCTTGACTTATCTCGTTTCGACAAGTCCGCTTGTCAAAACGTCCGCTCCAGCACACACCCGCCCTGTCTACAAATTTTTCATAACATTAAAACTCATAAAAAATTATTTGCACAGTTGCTTGATACAATCACGTCATGTCGCCACATGAACCTTGTTTCTGCATGAAGATCATTCTTTGCTCTGAGATGAGTGTGCGAGTCTCATTTACACCAAAACATTAACATGGACTGAAGACTGTGGGAACGAAAGTATGTGTGTTACTCATGCTATTAAACCTCTCTTCATAAGAGGCATGCTCCGGGCAGCAACTCTTTTCTTTTATATGAGACGTCTGTTATAAGCTGGGTGCCTCATACACATTTTATTATCAACCCATGATGATATATGGGGTTTAACGTCCCAAGATCACCATATGATTATGAGAGACGCGGTAGTTGAGGGCTCCAGAAATTTCGACCACCTGGGTTTCTTTAACGTGCACCCAAATCTGAGCACTCGGGCCTACGTCGTTTTCACCTCCATCGAAAATGCAGCCGCAGTTATTATCAACCCGTATATTACTGTAGACACACTGGTGTCTCTCATTAAGAAGTACGTCTGTCTGAATCCTAAATTGTCACAGTTCAATCCGCAAGTACTTCTAGTTTACGTATGTGGCATTTACAATGACCTGCTCCACCATTTGCAACAAGGTGAACTGTGTTGCGGTCGTTGCAAGCATGATTTCCTAGCTTGCAGCTGCTGAAAACACCGATACAACGTGGACCTGGAAACCGTGAAAACCGAAATACATGCGTTACCTAATTTTAGAACCCATCATGCACGAGCGGAGTTACTGTGGTTTAGTCAAACGCTTTAGTTAATCACTGTCTCTTTCCTTTCATAATATAGCTAGCACACTGAGACCTACCCATGGGGCAAGAACTTGCGTTCCGTTGTCAGCAGGGGCAGTCGGCAGTGCTAGCGCAAACATAATCAGAGCAGCCTTTCTGTGTCCAAACTGACATGGAAGAACTAACTGAAGTCATGGAATCCAGGCGCCGCTCCTGTTCGTCAATGCGCGTACCTTGACTGAGTAACTTTCTTTTCATTTTAACTGACAGCATATGTTTTTATAGGTGTCCTGTGTTGTGTTATCTTTCTCTCTCTCTTTTCACTCTTTTCTCTCCCCTTTTCTGTTCCAAATCCAGAAAAGCTGGGTATAGCAAACCAGGTTTCCTGGATTGGTTAACCTCCCTAGTTACCTTTCCTTTTCCTCCATTTCTATTTTTTGTTCATGTTTGTTCTTCGAACGCGCTGCTTGCGTGTAATCGAGAGTGCGTGGCGCACCTATGGTGCTCAATATATGCAGCTCGTGATGCTCAAATCAGCCAACGGCCGTGGAGAATGTAGCGAGGAGGAGGGAGCGATTTCGTAGCAGATTTGGTGAATTATTTCGAGCCGCGTGCTGCGCTATATAATGCTTGGCTCACGTGCTGTCAGGAGTCTTGACTACCGATCGGTGGCGGTCTCTCACCATGCTGCTGGAAAGGTATTGCATTGCTGCGTTTACATTCGTAAGCACCGAAGTACATTTGCATGAAGTTGCGCGTTCGTCCCATTTGAAATGAAACGCTTTATGTTGCGTTTAAGTCGTCGCAAGAACTATTCCCTTGCAAGAAGCCTTTTAACACGCAAGGAAAGGATCTAGCCCCAAAGTGGCGGAAAAACTCGTACTTACGGCAGCGCAAAAGTCCAACTTTTTTTCTGTCGTAGTTTGCAATCTAAACTTGCAATCCGAACGTAACTGTGCCCGACATTGCGATAATAACGTGCTGCGCGTCCGAGCCCTCGCACTCAGCCTTGGACGTGCCAAGAAGAGTAAAACAATTAAGTGACAGGTAGCCAACGTTTAGTTTCAGAAGGTGGCAAACCGGAGATGATGGCGGTTAAATCTGGCGCCAGCGCCGATGGCGAAACAAAAAGGCTAAAACGAAGAGGAAGTCACATGTTTTTGCAGGGGGTTATGGGATCGCTAGGTCACGCCGTCGTCTTGTGTCGTCTGCATCACCACTCATCTGACCGCGTTGTTGAGAGTCCGAATGAGCATTTTTATGCAGGTGTTTCACTCGAAGATGATGCAATGTGTCATAAGCCTACATTGAGTATTGGTCTTCTCTGTTGCGAGTCAAGTTCACATCGCTTGCGGTCTAAAGCGGTTGTTTTCGAAGCTTGCGCGACCACTTCTCCGAAAGTAGAAGACGCCGCAACTTCGCTGCTTTTCTGCGACACTACTGTTTTGTTTGTGAGAACTTCAGCGCCCACGGCTGTTAATGCGAGATGCGGCGGCGAGAAGTTCCCGTGTGCGATGTTCACAACTACCGGACAGCAGTACGTGGCCCACTGTGCTCACCCGGAGCTAAGCGCAGAGTCAAGACATACAGACGTGCCTGACACAGTAAGGCTATTTGAATTATCGCATCCCGTTCACGTTTCGAACGCGGTAACCTCATCAGTGCCCAAGTGTTTTTCGACGTTTCCGCAGTCGGCTGACATGTGCGGGCTGCTGCGAACGATACTTGACGATTGCGCGTATCACGTGACCCACACGCGTACGGGCAAAGCTTAGGATCCGGAGGCGCTTCGTCTGGCTAAATAGCGAGGTCAAACAACATTTCACGATTACATCATGTTCTGCGCCCCTAACTACTGTATCTATACAAAAGAAAACAGCCTTTCTATGCTTGGCGATTATATTCGGCTTATTCGCGCCGTTGCTCTGCGCTCGGCGGATATTATAAACACGAAGCGCAAAGCTGCAAGTTTATTGTATATGCACAGCATAAGCCGTGATAAGGCTGCGAGTGGCACACAGGCACTCTACAAGGGAGTATCATAGAACACAGTATCGCAGCACGCCACAGAACACCTACCAGCACTTAAGTTTCGCTTTTCCAGCTCGTCAATCGGATGCCGACGTCAGTGCCGCTCTGCACATCCGACATCCGGTTTGCTTCTCCCTCTCGCCGGCTCAATGCGAAAGAGAGAGGCAAGCCGATGCCCGAGCCACAGAAGCGTGACCAACCTTGCGAGAAGGATTCCTCTATTCTTCCCTGCTTCCGGCTTCTCAAAAATGTGACGTAACGGTATACCCTCGCAAAAATTACCAACAGAAAATAAATAGACAAAGAGAACAAGGAATAATGGACAAGAAAGGCGCAAGCTTTAATGACTATGGAGCAAACATCTGTAGCTAACACGATAGTCTAGATGAGGAGAGAAAAGTGATAACTCCTGTTTTGTTCGCATTAAAAGTTGGTGCCAATGAAGGAGCAATAAGTGCAGGTGAGAACAGGATGACTGAATAAAATTGGGAAATTCGTAGGCCTGTGTGAATCTTGAAACAGCTGGCAAAAACAAACGAAAAAAAACAGTGGGGGTTATCAAGAGATTGCTGGCAGTGAGAAGCATTGATAATAAGGGATACGACAAAGGATAAGACAAGATTTACTAAGGGTTACGGTTGCATACTCAAACGTGTATTAGCGTGTGTGAAATGCTGCATGGTGGTTGCATGCCTTGAAACTTCCATGCGTGCTATGTATATGCTGTCAACGTTATGACAGTGTCTGGTGCGTCCTTCAGCTAGAAGGCTTTAGGATATCAAGGCAACAATTTTGCCTCTTTGAGAAGCTTTGAACCTAGTAAGCTACATTTAAAACAGTACAGATTGACACCTGAAGTTCTTTTTCTTCTCTTGAAACGCTCTGTTGTCACAGTTTTCAGCGTTCGCAGTGCTTTTTAACCATATCCGAGGAGTTTGCGCTTGGACGAGGGGCCATTTGCTGGCTGGGCTAGTAAATTGATCCAATGTCAAAGCTACTGTTCTGTTCCTAGCTGCGTGACTGGGTACGTCTTGCAAAAACATATCCTCACTGCTCAGCGGGCCTAAAGAGGGGCTCTTCAACCGTTATTACCGTGCCCTTTTACCCGTTCATTGATATAAGGGCATTCCATACACAGTCATTGTACAGAGAACACAGTCATTGCCATGTTTTATTTTGCAACACATCCCTTTATTTCAAAACAGGGCAAGTTTGACGACACGGTTCTGACAGTTCCTCCGGTGCAGACATGGTCACCATTATGCCAACCTTAGTTCCAATCTTCATAAGACGCTGTGGATATGAAATAACAGCATTCTTTTGCTGCACGTGAAACTAGCCTTGTCTTCGTTTATTGAAGCCTCGGAAGACACGCTGACATTGTCGTTTAGCTGGAATAAGCTCCAGAAGGACAGACTCCCTGAAACAGTGCATCACTTGCAAAATCTGCCCCCAATAGATTGTGATACACAAGAAGGATATGAGAAGCAATAACCTAGTCAAGTTCGTTATTGTCTCAAGAAGACTTTATACTCGTTAATACAAACTCGTGGGGCACTATGAAATTCTTCAAATTATGCAGAGCTTGAATTAGTGGTCAGGTGCTAAAATGTACAAACTGTAGAGCTGTACAGAAGACATAGCCCCACAATGTGCGGGGAGAATGCAAAGAAGCCACCTTGAACTCATTATGGCGAGTTTGGCACTATTTTACAATACTTTAAGGAAGTTGTGTTGATTAATTCATGAAGCTTTTAAGAGTCAACAGAATTAATTCAAGAGTCAATGATATGCCAGAAACACACATCAGCATCATGCATTCATGTGAGCAGTCAGCTTCACGTCGAAACTAAAAGACCTTTCTTTGTGAGAAATCCATACGATTTTCTTGTG